ATATTTGCTTTTCTGCTTGGAAACACTGCAGGCAAAATCTCTAGTTCAGCTCTTCCTCCTCACTTCCTTTCTTCCACCAATTTAGCCCCTCCTCCTCATAACAAAATTTGAGGCCAAAAGAGAAAAAGAGTATAGGGCTGGCTAGCTCAGCGGACTAAGCACCTGATTTGGCAAGCACAAAGACCAGGGTTCTATCCCCAGGTCATGCCAGCCCAGCCCTCAGGGCACACTAAGCCCACAAACTAGTCTAGGCATGGTGGTACATTCCTGTAATCCCAGTGCTGGGGAGGTTGAAAATAGGAGTATCACTATGAGTCTGAGTTGCATAGTGAGACCCTGTACCAAATGCATAAATGGAAAAAAAATTTTTTTTAAAGATTACATATAACACAGAACATTTTTTATAGTTCCCAACTGTGCAAAGTTGGAATTCCTTTTCTCTGAAATTTCAGTAATAACCTGTCAAGTGCGTACCCTAGAAGATCTGTCAAAATAAATATCATTTTCTCCTCTTAGAAATTCCGGTTGTGCATTCACCTACCAAATCCTCTCAGAACCTTCTGAGTGAAAAAAAAGAAAACAAAACATGATACTTTTACTTTATGGAACAAAGCAGTAGCTCACAGTGTGCAGTTCTGCCTCTTGTGAAACAACTAAAATTTGCTGAGAACCGGGTTCCAGAAGAACACTTGGATTAAATAACTGCCAAGGTTCTTTACAAGACCAGAGAGGCCTTGAAGGTGCAAGTCAAGCTCAGATAATTCCAGATTCAACTCAAACTCTGGGGTTCAGGTTTCTTCTAAGACATAAATATCCCTGAAGTTTCTCCAAATACATCCTGACTAAATGTCTTCCTTGCTGCAGGCTCCCTGAAAAGATCCTCTAGCAGCACAAAGCCACAGTTAACAGAATGTTTCAGAAAAGATGCTTCCTAGGCTTGAAGTCCACCTCCACAGAGACCAGACTGAAACCAGATAGGGTGTAGACCATGTGGTCCAGGAATGCTGCTAACAAACAATCAGAGGCCACAGACATAATGCTAGGGGCCTGGTACTTTTCTTCCTCCTGTCACCCACCCATTCATGCATTCATTCATTCACTCATTCTCTCTGTGCTTTTCTGTCTCTGTCTCGCTGTCTCTGTCTCTGTCTCTCTGTCTGTCTGTCTGTCTCCCTCTGTCTCTGTCTCTCTCCTCCTTTTCCCTTCTCCCCATCTGTCTGTCTGACTGACTGTCTGTCTCTCTCTGTGTCTCTCTCTCTCTCTCTCTCTCTCTCTCTCTCTCTCTCTCTCTCTCTCCTCCATCAAACACACATATACACAAATATAGATAAAGTATTTTTAAATTATACACATAAACAAATACAAACATAACTATACCTATTATATATAAAATCCACAACACATAAATCAGAGGTGCAGGGAGGAGAGGTCACAAAGAATACCACCTCCTCTAAGATGCCTTCTCCATTAGTAGAGAATATTTTTCAAGAAAATTTTAAAATTCTGTGCTTGGCAGGACAGGGAAAGTTCTATTAAAAAAAAATTCTCCAGAAAGCTTTTTGCCTCTTCTGAAGCTTAAAATATTCTAAGAACTCTTCTGATGAACTGAAAAGAGAATTCTTGTCAGGTATGACTGTCCCCTTAATACAGAAAGCACACTTAGATGGAACAAAGTTGGAACTGGTGGCGGTCAATTGAATCCACTCTACGAGGGAAACAGAGTTATGCATTATATTAAGTCTTGTGAACTTCAGGAAAGACACAGAAATGGAGGAGGGAAAGAAGGAAAAAGGGGAGACATAGAGAGCGGAGAGAAGACAGGAGGACGGCAATGTAAGCCACACGGAAAATAAACATGTAAGGAAGTCTGAGCTGCTGCTGGTGACGTCGTGTTCACAACTGAAACTTTGTGGGAAAGTATTTCTTTTTCAACTAAATCTTTGTATCTTAAATTTATAATCTGGAGATTTTGAGCGATATAATGAGAAGTTTAATGAAATCAAGTGGGGAAAATATTTTAGCACAATGCTGAGTAATGACTTCTTTTTCATACAAATTTGTCTAATTGTACAGTGTTATATTTGAAAAAGGAAGTCTTATCAACACATGTAGTTTGTAAAGGAAGAATCCAAAACAAGAAGTAAGATAGGTGTCCTGATATTATTCAACCCTTAAAGCACAGAAATGCAACTCAGTGTCAAGTCCCAGTCCTGATTCTGGGCTCTGCCCCTTGCCCACGCACCACAAACTCCTTGACTAGTCCCTTTATGTTATTGTGGACTACAGACTCTTATCTTACTATTCAATGAACAATTTTCACTTTTTATTGCCTCTTTATAGGAAGATAGGAATGGCAATTTCCCAATAATCTGAGCATGTTAAGAAAACATGTAACCTTTGTACTTTGATTTTCTGTATTTCATGGTGATAGGTTAAGCCAGCAAAGATTAAATCTTTTTTCAAAGAAAACATATGGCATAGGCAAAACTCCAAGGCTATTTTAATTGGATCCTGGGGAGCAGATACACTAGAGACCCTCCTCAGGTACATAGTATTAAATTACTTTTACATTCACTGTTAGTACTCTCAGGCATACATTTTAACTTAGGCTAAGCTTTAATACTAAGTAGGTATATCAACTAAAGTTTTTTGTATTTATTCTTCAAGCTTTATAGGTACAGCTGCTGCAGAAAGTATCAGGAGCCTGTAAGTATCAGGATTGCAAGGAAACAAAGAACTAACATAAGGAGACTACCTTTCTTTAAAAAGAAAACTTTAATCCCTCAAAGGCCATATTTATGCAGAGAAGTTCTAAAAAAGGTTCAGATGTATGATATTAAAAACAAGTCACTGAAAAATTTTCCACCAAAAGTCAATGGGGTTCAACAAACATGCTGCATCCATGTCTCCCCCTAGTTCTATTTAAATGACAATAAGTTTTAAACAATTAAGAAAAAATATAAAGCCATAAAGAAAAAAGAGTGACAAGATGGAAAAAAAAAAGAGCCAGAAAGCTGTTTTTTCACTGACTTACCTGATTCAAAAAGAAAGAATTGCACAGCAACACTGTTGAAAGCTTAAGTATTAAAAACCAATCCTCCACCCTCCCTTCCTGTTCTCAGACTGGGGCCATCAACACCAGCACCCTCCGCAGGTAGGGACAGTGTCCGAGCTTTACATGAGAGGGAGGGTTCAAAGCCTACAAAGAAATCTGATGTCTAGATTCTGCCTTCTACTTCACATTCTGCTTTTCTTTGCTAACTTGGCACAGGTCTAGAGTTTCATTATCTGGTGGGGGCATAACAGGTCTGCGGACTGAATTCAGGACACCCAACACCAACGAGAGCAACCCTATGGCTCTGGAACCAGGAAAATAAGAAGGCTTGTGTATTAACTGCTGAGACCTAATTTTTTTTTTTCTGCTTGTCAACTGCCAGAAAACTACTACCTATTTCATGCTTTCATGGGCAAGAGAAATGACTTCCTATAGGCTAGATGGATTTTTAGAAAAAAACAGAAAGTACGCTAAAGTGCTGAAGCTGATGCTTTATACCCAATTCCTAAATCACACACATAGGAAGCTGAGAGCTGGCAAGATCAGGGTGTGGAAACCAAGCTTCCAATTAGTTCTCTAGGGCCTCACTCTTAAATATGAACAGGTGTTCCAGAACATCTCAACATCTAAAGAGAACTTATAAAACAGCAGACAAAATAATGAGAAATCTTTGGGTAAACAACAACCACAAAACAAGAAAGAAAGAAAGAAAGAAAGAAAGAAAGAAAGAAAGAAAGAAAGAAAGAAATTCAAAGAAAAAAAATTGAAAAAAATCATTAATATTTCCAAAAAAATCCAACAGAGTATAACCATGAAAGAGTAGTATAATTCTATCAAAAACAAATAAACATTAAGGGATAAGAAAAAAAAAATCAAACATTGGAAATAGTATATAGTATTCAGGAATTAAAATCTTAAAAGAAAGCATAAAAGATAAAATTGAAGTTGTTTTCTAACCTATAGAGCAAAAGCAGAGAAAACAATAAAGAAAGAAAATAAGAAAGTTAGAGAATATGGGCAAGTTATTATGCACATACTAAGAAGAAACAGAAGACCGGGTGTGGTGGTATGCGCCTGTAATCCCAGCATACTTGGGAGGCTGAAAACAGGAGGATCACTACGAGTCTGATCTGTGTAGTGAGACCCTGTACCCCTGTACTAAATACATAAAATAAGTAAATAAATAAATAAAACAAAACATAAAAATAAAAAGATACATTAAGTAATATTTAAAGCAAGATCTAACACTTACTAAATTTCCAGTGGCTTGTATCACCTATAAATCTATTTTTGCCCATTAAATGCCAAAGTGAACATTATTGGTGCTGTTACTAATGAATGCAGATTAAGTGAGCAGCTTCTAAAACCTCACAAGGTCTTTTTAGCTCTAGACTTGAGCTCTTTAGACAATGAAATGAGCACAAACTAACTCTTCTTTATTAATTCCTGAAAGTTCAATAAAAATTCCTGAATCATAGACACAAGCTTGTTACCAAGACATGAGAATACTGTTATAAATGCACACTAAAATCAACACACCACCTTAAGATATTCCTTACAATTCAGATATCTTGCATTAGCACCTTTCAAAGGGATTCAGTTCTCAACAATAAATCAGTGCTTATGACCAATCAGGCACAGAAATGACTCCTTAAATGACATTTCCAATAGAAGGCTGCATGACAAATCTTGGTCTCCAAATAGAAGCACAAATTGTAAAAACAATCCTCTATTCAAGACTGATTGAATTGGACAGAAAAACACACAATGGTGAAGGAATCTGGGCAAAAATCTTGAAGAAAGCTTTGCTATAGTATTTAAAAGAGGCTTGTGAGAGAATCCAAAACCTTCAAGAATAAGGCACATTGTCTGCAATGTATTCTTACTCCCCATTTTGAAGACATTGTATGGCAAATTATGTTCTCAGGAAAAGAAACAAACTTACCTTTCACAAGCTCGGACAGTCCATGCAGCAATTATCCATAATGAGATACTAAAAACCAAGAGCACAGTTCCTGGGCATATAGTCATTAAAGTCTTCATAACAAAACGCGTATTGAAGTTTATCTTATTAAGTGCTCCAATGCTTCTAGAGGAGGCATCAGTGAACAGTTTGCTATGTAAAAGCATGACTCTGGCAATCAGGTAGAGTCTTAAGAACATTGGTATAGATAAAATAATGTCCACATCAGCAGTGGTAGTGGAAGGGGTATAGGAGAAGGCAAGCCGGGCTGTCCATGTGAACGTGTAATTCCCAGGTATGGGATGAATAGCACACACCAGTATTTCCAAGCAGATGAAGAAAATACGCTCATAAGTCATGGCTATTCTCCAGTCATCTGCTCCATTGTCCACCATGAATAACTGAAAAAATAAAGTAGAAAATCAGCTTCAGTATGGCAAGAATGGTCTATCAGTGTTAGCGCAGATCTTAACAAGACATAACAGATGACTTTTAGCAATCATGGCAAGCTAAAGGGCAGAAATTTTCAACCCTAGCCAGGTACACTGGTATTTTTCTTTAAAGGATATTCATATCAAGGGGAAACTTCATTTTGTTCATAATCCCTGTCAAAGAAGCAACAACATTTTAAAATAAGGGATGTGGGCTTATCAATAATGAAACACCCTCAGATGAAGTAAGAACAGACTTGCCTTGTAACAAATTGTCCTCTTTCAAAGGCTGGATTTAAACCACTACAAAATTCTACCTCTATTCATCCTAATTCTACAGGATGAACTCTATTTAGGGTGCCTCTCAAATCAGTTAGTTATATCCCGAGATGTGACAATACATGAGGGTTCTATAAGAAATCTTACTCAGCCTCTGAGAAAATCACAAGAAACCAGAGAAAAATGTGACAGAAACATTTGCTCCACCTTCCTTACTACTATTCCATTTTGTTTCTTTTCTTTTGTTCTCTGATTGCCTTGCCTTGAATTAATACTTCATTTTCAATTTTTCTTTAATGAAGATTCCTTTTTCCTATTTTTGTCACTTTTATACCACAATTAAAGAAAATAAATGGAGAAAGAATGCAGAACAAATGTCTCTCTATCTTCCTTGGCAGTCTGTAAACAAGTCTACCAGGCCTTAGCAGTCCATAAATAACCAGCAGCATTTGGAAATACGTGGTATCTTTTCTGGCTGTCACGACGACTTGTGAGGGCTATTGGCATTTAGGGGCAGGAAGCCATGGGTGCCAACCACGCTGCAATGCTGGAGTCCCACGCACCAGGGAGACCTGTCTGCCGAGAATGCCAATAATGCTTCCCCACTGAGGAAGACGTCATGTTCTCTGCCTTCTGCTCAGTAGCCAACTCAAGCAGGAAGCCTGAGATGAAAGCAGCCTAAATGAGAACAGTATATTCCCAGGTAAGAAAATCACAAGGAGGCAGGAAGGGCAGATTCACACATGGCTGGATTCTGTGTGGGTTGCCATTCCAGAGTTGGAAAAGTACCCACTCCCCTTTTTGGATGATGCAAATCCTCACTTTTGCTTAAGTCTTGAGTTGACAGCTATTTCCCCAGGGTACTATTCAAGCTGGTTGTTACCTCAGTGTTCCTTTGTAGAGATAGGAATTTGAGGGCAAAACCTACCACTTGTTTCTGGTGCCTTGGGGAGATAGAGAAACCGCATAATCTCATTAAAGAGCAGAATTGTGATTGTCTACTTTCTTCAACAGACTTGGCTCAAAAGACTTTGCTGAAAATCTCAGCAGTTTGTAAAAGTCCATTCCAGCTCCAAACAGACTTAGAATCACCAAGACTCCAAAGAGACAAAAGTACAGTAGATTCTGAGTACCATTCCAAGAATGGCTTCCCACTATGGGCAAAAAAGCAGGATAAGTACCTTTCCAATTAGCAGACAAAGAAGTGTCCATGTGTATGTGTACTGACATCCTGCTTAGTCTAGTCTCTGGCCTTCCCAAGACGGCCCTCCTGCCATCACTCAAAGTGCCCTCACTCTAACCTGACAGGACTCTTTTTCCATCCCCTTTTCATCACTGTTACTTCCCCAGCAAGACTGCTCTCACTGTTAGGGTATCTGGCTCCAATTCTAAGCTCACTGCTAGTTTGCAGTTTCTGCTAGACCTGCCTAGGTAACACCCAATCCAGGGAGGGACGGCCAAGCTGCTGCAGGTGGAGTCAGGCTTCCATGCACCTGTGCCTTCAAGCTCAGCTGAACCCCTGGTGTCATCCATGGTTGTTTCATTATCTCTGCAATATATTTCCCTCAAGGGCCACCTCTATTTTCTTCACTTTGCACCCCTTTTCCCTACATCAGAGTAAATACACTCTACTGCACACCTTAGTCATAAGCATACCTATATCTATAGCCTTTTCTTTTTATTTTCCTTTCTTTTTGCTTCATATCTAGCAATGTTATGCCAAAACTCAGGGTCTCTAGACTTGAAAGCCTCCTGTGTGTGCTTCCTCCCTCTCCGCAGAGCACAAAACAAGGTCAAATCACTACAATTATTAAAACAAAACAAAAATGCAACAACATAACCAGAAACAAACAAGAGCCTGCCTGACTTTGCTTGCCACAGGCTATTTGTGTCTCTTCTCCTTCATGTAGGTTTTGCCACCATCAACCCACCAACATTATTCTTACAGAGGTCACTGAAGATATCTTGACAATGAAATCCAATCCTCCTGTTTAAAATTTTTATCACACTTGGCCTGTCATCTTTTCCTTCCTGAAAAGGATCTCCTCTCTTGGCTTTTGTGACATGTTGCTTTTCTCATCTGCTGCCAGCTTCAGTGATCTCAGGTCCCCTCTTTAGAGTCACTGCTGTCCTAAAATTCACCATTTCCTCTTCTCTCACTCTATACCTTCCTTGCTGGTCTCATCCTTTACTCTTAGTGGTAGCAGAGTCCTCCTTTTGTAGACCATATTCCACCCCCTAGTGCCCTCTTCAAAATGTAAATTGTATAATCCCATTACCTTCAAGATTAAAACTATCCATAATCTCGGCCTCATGGGTAAAGTCCATCCTACAACCACAGCAGACAAGGCACTCTGCAACCTATTGCCTATTGCTGTCTACACTACCCTCTGGTTGCAGATTTCAGCACCCACTGCCCTAACCCTGTTTCTGCGTCTCTTCCCTTCTGTGCTATGGCCTGGACAGTCTCCATCTAGCACATTCTTACTCTTTCCAGACCAGACTTCATATCGCCTTCCTTAGGGACACAATCTTATCCAAGTTTTGATACATTCCTTTGTTCCACTGTTATCCTTGTATGTGGCTCTTATTGATGCTGTCACAGAAGACAAAAGGATTTTTTTAAATAAAAGTGTCCCTGTTGGGCGACCCTGTGCCCGCGGGACCTGTCCGGTCCAAACCCAGGTGGGGCATGAATGAGACCTTCTTCTGCGCCTTTGGGAACCCCCACCCTCCACTTTGCAGCCCCCCTCACCAAGTGAGTGAGAACTTCTGCCGCATTCTCAAGACCCCCAGATCCAGCACTAGCCCAGGCCCAGTGAATATGTAGGGGAGCTTCTGGCGACCCTGCACCCGTGGGATCTGTCTGGTCCAAACCCAGGCACAGCATGAGTGAGACCCTCTCCAACGCTGTTGGAAACCCCACCACCACTACGCAGCGCCCCCCCCCATGCCCACCAAGGGAGTGAGAACTACTGCCACGTTCTCAGGACCCCCAGATCGAGGCCTACCTCAGACCTGGTGAATGCGTGGGAGAGCTTCCTCTCTCCCCTACTCCCCCTTGTCCTCTTCAGAACCAGCTCAGGCCTGGAAAACAGGCCTGGGGTGAAACTCTGCAGCTGCAGTTCTTACAGAAAGAGTAGGGGACAAAATCACCCAGCTAGTCCAAGAGCAGAACATCTTGCCAGAGGGGCACAACGGGTTCACTCCCAAGGGCTGCAGCAGGAAGAAGCTGATCACAGCAGCCAGACCCAAGCCAGGCACAACTACATAAATTCAAACACTGTAGATCTGCACCTGAATTTCAGTAGGTGCTAAGGTTGTAACTGCATCAAAGCTCTACAATAAAGGTCAGAGAACAGTGCTAGAAAAAATGACAATGAGAAGGAGCAAAATGCAATCTCAGACCCCAAGCCCATCCATAACAAGTGCAGAGCATACTAGCACAGAATAAATTGGGAATCACAAGCTGAAATCAATGAATCAAGAGCTTCTGAAGGGGCTGGGGGGATGGCTCAGTAGGATAAGCTCTTGCCTGGTAATTGCAAGGGCCTGAGTTCAATCCCCAGTACCAAAAACAACCAAAAGAGTCTGAAATAAACAACTGCAGAAAGATATAGAGGAACTCAGATTGTAAATAAAAAAAGAAATCTCGGAAATAACAGTATCTGAAGCAAAGAAACAAATACAGAAACATGGAGGAAACTCAATGCCCACCCAGAACAAGTGCAGAGGACACTAGCTCAGCACAAATATATGAATTAATAGCATCAAAAGTAAAAAATCAACAGCAGAAAGGTATAGAGGAACTCAGAGTGGAATTAATTTCTGAAATAAAGAAATCTCTGAACCCATAGCATCTGAAGTAAAGAATGAAATACAGAACATAGGGAGGAAACCCAATCTGAAAAATACTCTGAAGAAAAAGAATAACTGCTTCTAAAGAAGACATTGATTAAAAAAAAAAAAAAAGAAAAAGGAGGAGATTCAAAAAATGATGGATTTCTTCAATAAACAACACAGGAAAGAAATAGGTCGCATGAAGCAGAGTCAAAGAGACATAGAGGAACTTAAAATCTCAATTACAAACTTTCAAATCCATTAGTGAAAGTGAAGACAGTTTCAGATCTTGAAGACGTTGGTGCAGCTAATGAAAAGGTAAGAAAAGTTCTTGTAAAAACCAGTATGATGCATGAAAAAATAATTATTCACTTACAAGACGATGCAAAGATGAACAGTGTGAGACTAATAGGCATCAATGAGAAAGAAGGAGTCAATACAACTGACATTAAAAAAATACGGTCAGAAGCTGAAAATTTCCCAAATATGAGGAAACAATCTGACATCCACGTAACCGAAGCATACAAAACGCCAAGTAACCTCAACCAGTTAAAAACACACCGAGACATATAAGAGTCAAGATCGCAGAAATTCAGCTCAAGAATAATATATTGAAAGCCGCTAGAGAAATGAAGCAGATCACATTCAAAGGAAAACCCATCAGAATTATGGCTGACTTTTCTTCACAAACCATGAAGGCAAGAAGAGCATGGAGCAGAGTACTTCAACTCCTCTGTGAAAACAAATTCCAGCTCAGACTACTATATCCTGCAAAACTCTCTTTCAAGTTTGATGGAGAAGTGAAATACTTTCATGACAAAGAACAGCTAAAGAATTTCATGATGACAAAG